GGTCAGGGAGAATACCACTGTCAGTCACGTACCGACGGCGGCGGCGGATGTGAAGTCCCAAACACGCTCGCTCGCATATATATATATATACAAGCTATGATAAATACTAGGTCCGCGGTGGACGAGGAAGTTTGAAAGCGGCGAGGGGGGGGGGGGTAGGCCGAAAGCCTAAACTTCCGAGTTATTACTTATACACATCCGTTTTCGACCGGAAGTCATTTGGACTTTTCGACCGACCCCCCCCGTTCGCCCTACTCGCCCACGCTGCAAACGACCCCGGGCCGACTCTCGACCGTTGGCGTTTTTGTCCTTCGTAATGCGTTTGTATGTAAAAAATAATAATAATAATAAATAATTCTTCGACATATTATATTAGTATATTAGTATTGCCATGGTATGGGCAGGATGATAGGATAGTACGAAGGGTAGACGATTTTTTTTTTTTTGTTTCATTTAACTTTTGCCACAAACAGCTGTTGTTTTTTTAACGAGGGTTGCTATGCTCGATACAAACCGTACACGAGGGCTTTCCTCCGTCTATCCGAAATCCGTCGCTGCTGCCGGCGAATTATTGGTTTATTTTTTTTTACTAGACCGCATCGCCTATTTTCGGATATATATTTTTTTACACACACAAGACGGGCTGCACAGTCCGTCCACGCGAGTAATTCGTCTCGAAATCGACCTAACCGTCGACGGGGTATAACGTTTAACAACCGAGGATCTCCCCGAGGGGGGGGGGGGGAGGGGGATTATTCGATGCCAATTTTCTGTACATGCGGCGAACGGATGTGCACAGACAGACGCAGAAGGGATCAGTATTAAGTACGGTCGCGTGAATCCATACCGCGTTTTCGACACAAAAATGATCTACAATATAAATATATATATATATATATATATATATATTTCTAAAGGTTTCCAAGCCAATTCTCCCGAGTCTTTGCGCCGCTCTCGCTGCTTCTACCCTATCTCTCGCCGCTTGCTTGCTGGCGGTAGATAGGAAAATAGTATATTTTGTAAAAAAAAATATCGACATCATACGCTTGTAACGGTGGTGGGGTAAAGGGGCAAGAGAATATCTGTAGTAATACCTGTCGCACACCGCGCGTTGAATAAGGGCTGTCAATTAAAACCGAAGCTCTTCGGGCGGGCACGATGGCGAAATAATTATAATATGTATTAAATATACAGTGTGTTGGCCCCGGAGATGAATGCGCACCGGGACGAGGTGACAGGGACGAGGCGCACAACAATAACAGATGGGAGTTATATTATGCATGAAGTTATCCACCATAATATTATATCCGAGAGGATAATTGATCACTTAGAAATAGAACGGGACACGCTAATTGGACTGCTGTTGCAAGAGAGGGGCGAACCGGAGCAGAAGACGAGGCTGTGTGTATAATATGCATATTATATTGAATATATATTATTATTAACATGTGCGCTCCTCCGCAATTCGAGCGTTAAGTTTTTAACGATAAAGCCCTAAAGAAAACCACCCTCGTTCAATGGGTGTTATATTATTACGGCTATTATATTATTACACCTGCACGCCGGTGGAAAGCGCATGCTAACGGAAACGAGATAAGTCGGCGGTCGATAAATCTGTTAAGACAATGTCAGTACCATCACGTGACCGAGTTAGGTCGTTTTAGTCGAAAACAAAAGCCCGGCAAGGTCGAGCCGTTTTGTAAATAAAATTAATTTCCAAAACAAGTTTTCTCCGTTTATCTCCCGGCCGAAAAGAGCTCAGCCCGCATACAGAGTTGCGCATCATTCGGATAAAACCGTATCTGAACAACTATCAAGACAACATAATATTAGTTAAGCAAAAGTTGTTCGAATAATTTTGCAAAAACTCCAATCATTTTTCAATCGAATAATATTAAAAAATAATTTTTTATTCGAATAATAATTAGTTTTAACCCTTTCAATTCCAAATTAAATTTACAGAATATATTATTTTTAATAATTACCACAAGACAACACGAAATACTACATTTAAAATTTCCTCGATACTTACAATTATATAATACACATGTTTTTCTATTAAGTTAAATCTTTAGTACACGTGCAAGTATTATCACAAATATAAATATTAAACAAAAACAAAAAGGTTGCGTACATTGTAATGTGCCTAGAGACCGAAAGGATTAAAATTATTCGAATAATTTTCATAATAATAATTCGAAGACATTTTTCATTAGAATTATTTTAAAAATATTTATTCGAATCATTTTTCGTTTGAATAATTTTCAAAATAATTATTCGAATCAATTGTTATTCGAATAATTAATTTTAAAACTATTCGAATAATTTTCAAAATAATCATTCGAACAATTTTTCATTCGAATACTTTTAAAACTAATTATTCGAATCATTTTTCATTTGAATAGTTTTCAAAATAATTATTTGAACAATTTTTCATTCGAATAGTTAACAAATAATTATTCCAACAATTTTTCACTTGAACATTTTTAAAACTAATTATTTGAATCATTTTTCATTCGAATAATTTTCAAAATAATTATTCGAATAAGAATCAGCACAACTCTGCCGGCGTCGTACAAGACCTTAGCGTTTATTCGCCTTATCCTGGTAGAAAACAAGAACGACCGGGGTTGGTCCGAAAAATCCTTTATTTTTCCTTTCTCTTGTCTATGTATACACGATGTGTTTAATATATTTAAATAGGATATGCCCACTCCGCCCCGGTCGCAATTCTAAGCTTCTGGCGATTTCATCACGTCCCATAAGGCTACGGGTTTATCACCCTGACGAGAAGCGCAGCTATAATAACAATATATATATATATATATACAGTCGTTAGACATGTGCCTTTTATACAATACAAGGGCGGCAGGCAGGGCAACAAAAGAAGACTTGTCGACGACCGCCTTTCCTCGGGGAAAGAGTTTTTTTTTTCTTTAATTTAATTTAATATAGTATAGCTGTGTGTTCTTCTTCTTCTTCTTCTTATTGTTGCGCATACCGTTATTATCGGCTTTATTCGCTTTCAAAGTACCGGCGGAACGGCTATAGGGCATTAGTAGGAAACCGGGAGGGCATTCATGCGAAAAGGGGAATCCCGAATATATTATTATTATCATTATTATTATTATTGTTATTACTATGACTTTGGCCCCGGTTATACATGGGTTTTTTTCCCCTCTTTTTTTTCTATCCAGTACACGCCAAATTAATAATGGAAAATCCCGGCCAAACTGCGGCGCCCGGACAATCGCACGACAAAAGTACTGTAGGCGCGCATTGGCAAAATACACGCTTTGGCCGTTCCCAAAGAACATCATACTATTACAGTAGACGGAGACAAAGGTCGTTGCCGGCCCTACTCGGAATCGGTCTCGTCCTGCGCTTTGTACACGCGATATTATGCTGTACAAATAGCGCTGCTACTCGGAATCGCAATGGCCGAAAACATTTTTTTTTGGCGCAAAACATTTTCGAAACGCTTTGAAGTGATCCGTCCGCCATTGACCGGCCGACGGGCCGAGGGGGATGGAAACCTTCTCGGTACCGTCAAGTTCAAAGGGTCTATAATATATATATTATTATAATATAAGGTTTCAAATGTAAAACAACGGCCGTTGCAAAATATGTAATTTTCCCTCATTTTTTTCTTCTTTTAAGGTTTTCCTCAATACCTTGTTCGACTATAGATTTGGTTGAGAAAATCGCAAATCTTATAGCTCCGTTCCAGATCCAGGTCTTCGGTGTAATTTCCAAAGACCTTTCCACTGAAATAGCGAAATACAGATAACATTTCTCACCTCTAACGTTCGTCGGTAGAGTGCTACGTGTCTCGCCGAACCGATATCCAAATATCATTGCCCGTTTTACCTCTTTCGGGTACCGTTTCTGATTTACATGGACTACCAACATTGAAGAATTCGGTGCATTGTAATAACAGTATCAAACGGTACAGAATTAAACGACACAATAAAATGCCAACCATAAAATATATATATCCTCCTATCCCTATACAAACCTAACCAGGAATTACACACATGCACAACGTTGTTGACGCTAACCCGGTTGGTTTTTTTTTTTTTTGTTATCCTGTAGAGCCGACAATGTTGTTTTGCCCCGTGTATGCCGAGTAATAATAATTATATTTATTTTAATTAATCCGCGAAGCGTGCCGACAAAGCACAACACTCGCCCTCACACGCATAACGCTTTTAACGGGATTAAAAATTTCAATACTGCTCTCAGGCGGCAACACGGCCGGGATGTGTATAAATCCATATTTATATATATCACAAAAGCGTCCTTTCCTCTCCCTTTTTCTCTCTCCCCACCCCCCTCGCTCACTAAGGCGGCCCTACAAAATCTGCACTCTGCGATTGTACTCGAAAGTATAATATAATTTAAGATAACGCCAGCCTCGTAATCCGAAGCATATGCGGGCACGAATTCCAAAAGTTTCCCCAAAGGCACACACGACACAAGCCAGAAGCCCAGAACCTTACTCGAGACCACCCATAATGGATCAGTCCATTAGACCTCAAGAACAAGCCGGAAGTGTGAAAAAATGACTAGTAAATTATTTTTTACCTTTGTTATTAAAGCAATATCAATGACTTCGATTGGCACGTATCTTTCGGTTGACCTAAAATGGACAGTTTTTGAGACATGCCAAAAATAATGTTAATGACCCATGTATCGACGTCGATCATTGTAAGCCCGGTCCGTCATGTTACCCCAATGGCCAAAATTCTCAACAAATCCAATACCTCTGGTACACTACACTGCGGTGGTTTCCTGCTGTTCCCGCCTTATCTTCCCCTTCGCTCTTTAATTATTCTCGTCGACTTACTCGGCTCATGTCCGTGTAAAGGGTTAATCCGACGTCATAATTATTGTTTCATATAGTTTCCTCAAAGGCACCAATAATATAGTATGATAACCCTTTGACCAATATAATATACTATATAAACATAAAGCTCGGGTAATATATTCGCACGTACCTTTATGAAACGTCTGGCCTTGGTCAGAAGCCCCAGGGTGGTGTGCCGAGACGATTCGTGACCCAGCGGTACCATTTCTTTGAGTTTTTCTAAGCAGTTTCTCAGGTGCGCTCGTCTGTAACATACAAAAAAATTCAACACGAGTTAGATAATGTAATATATTAAATTAGCAGACAATATGAAAATGTGCATATCGACGCAAAACACACATAATATTTCTGCTCCGCATTTGCCATAAATTGTTGGCTAATCGAAAACGTCTCCCCGATTGGACTAGTGATCATTAGTATATTATAATCTAATATCTAATTGAATTCAAATATAATTCTCGATTTAACAATGTGGAGGGTCGTATAAAGAGTAGAGGATGACACGCGGCCATTGAATGGCTGATACAAAACGACATTATGTTTTTTGTACGAGCGGCACACAAAAGAAGTGTAAGTCTACAAGCAAACGGAAAGTTTGAGACAACAAAGACATCGGCTGACGCAAGCGGGCGCCAAGAAACTTAGGGATTGTTTTCGATACGATGGCGAGATAATTTCGATAGGCGCAGTATAATCCCAAAAGAGAAAAGTGCCGACTACAGCAATCTATTATTGCATACACCGAGTTGGAAATAATCTCCACGTGCGACTACAAACGTTTTTTTTTTGCACGTTGGTAGCGATTAAAATTGCTGGCCCTCCTTGTTTTTTAGTCGAAAGAATGCTAATTAACAAGCAAGTGTCCATAGATGTAAATGCTACCGAGTCGTGCAAAATCCGGATTGTCATAATTCCGAAAATCCCAAACAGAAAAGGTGTAAAAAGGAAAACACACGCATTGATCAATTGATTATTTTCAGAAACCGAAAAGGTGGTGGTATTGGTTTTTGCGCTTTCATCGCTGCCTTCTTCTTCATACATCATCGAAGCGCAAACTATGTTTTCCTAACCGTTCAGGTTTTATTGATTCTAATCAACTCGAGATACAACGAAACCATACACACACACATATATTATTTATATATAGGAGCCGATACTCAGAGCACGTCGAGGCATATAAAAACCGATTGCTCGCGCTTTATTGCCCCGCACACACAACAAATCAATCCCCGAAATTAAGACGTCACGAGATTCCCTTTATTCTTTTATACGTGTACGTCGCTGCTCGTTATATTGTATATGTAAGCAGCAATAAAAGTTTGGCTTTTCACGAATAAAACCGCAAACGCACACACATACACGCTGTAATATAATAACAACATTATTATTAACGTCGCGTTTTTATATTTATTTTTTATTACGTCAAGCGTCTCTGACAAACGGAATTTATGTATAGTGCCCCACCAACCAAGCCTTTAAATCCTGCAGATAAAAAAAAACCGACTTTACTCGATAATTGAAAAATACAACACAATTCGCAGGGTTTAATTAATAGTGGCGAGTCCGTCAAATTAAAAGCTTAACGAACGCGTTGCCTGCAGATCAGAGTGGAAGACAAAGAAAAGACGGCAAAAAAAAAATAAAAAACTCATATTGATAATAATTATAATGAAGAATAAAAAGAGCGAGTTTCACGATAAATCCGTGCGTCCCTCCAGCCAGTTCTTCGGATGGCATTTTTTTTTTTATTAATCCTTCAGCGACTACTCCGTTTGTTAATTGTCTCACACGGAGATTTTGAAACTTTTTTTCATCATCTTGAATTCCACGGGATAAAAATGTTTTTTTCTCTGTCATCAATGGAGTCCGGTATTTAATTAAATATTTTTTATAGATTTTGCTACAATTCGCAATTTAACAAACAATGCGACGGACTGCTCGACGGTTCGGCATCGGAAATCGACATTTCACAATATTTTCTTTCTGTGGCGACCATAGTGCGGTATAGAACAACAACCTTCTCCGATCAATAGCCAACTATGTACAGATGTATTGAATCCACACAAACGCCGGTAGCCGCCCGAATTTCAGGTATCAGGTGGTACAGGCACGTGCTAAGTTTGGCACCGAAATTTAGCGCATCGACCATCGTTCATATTTACACAATATTTAGAGCAGTATCACGCCAAAAACGGTGGTAAATGCTTTACAAAACAGTCAAGAGCAAAATACAGTGATAATTTTAAGGATTCTATTATAGTTTGATGTGATCCAATCGCCGTTTGATGTTTAGATGATATGCTAAAGGTTCGTTGACTGAACTCTCTGAATGCTCTTAATGCCGCAAATGAGTCATACCGTTTCCACATGACACCATATCGGGTTGCAAGCGAATAAAACCTGGGCATAGTTCGGTAATTTTGATCACATTGGCCGGCTTCGGGTTCAGTCGGTGCCACCAGAGGGGAGAATAGAAAACAGGTATCTATGTATCGACGATAAACATTGGACGCGCGACAGATGCATTAATAGACGTTTTAGCTGGATCATCTCATTTTACCTCAACGCAGTGATCGAGAGAGTGTTCATTTTCTTTTCGAAGGGTTGCCATTGACAGATCAGTTGCGCAAACAAATGACCAAATATCTGAGGGATGAAGAAGACCCCGCCTACATCCGTAGCATTTTACCAAGCGGCAGAGACTTGGCAAGTTCACACTTTATAAAATCTCTCAATTACACACAATATTTGGGAAGGGGACTTTACTAGCGAGAGATAGATCTATTGGTTTGCTTGTATTTTTTAGGAGTTTTGAAGAACTGCAACTATTTTCTAGCAAGTGCTCGACGGTTAGGTTCAAGAAAAGACATCTTTTTACACTACCGTTGCCGACAAATAATGCGCATAATAAATACCTACTTATTCGCAGTGCACCGAATTCATTTGTATACATAATGATATTATCGTCGGACGAGACCGCAAATCCCAATATAGTTTTTTTATTTCTTTATGTAATTCCATTTCCCCCAGACAAGCGGCATATCTGAAAATTAGTTTATCGCATTCGATGACTATCCATGAATTTCCCCAGCCAATAGCAGGAATACCTACTCCTGGTGAGACAATACTGTCTCGCCACGCTGAAGAGACTAAAAAGCGACGCGGCGGCGGCCATGTTGTTCGCAGATGGAAATTAATGACAATATAAAGTGTTTCGAATAGCGAGGAATTTAATTATTATTGTTAATAATGTAAATGCGTTGTCGACGATGGAGAGTGTGGTAATTAATTTTAGTCCGTTGGCGCTAATGTATAAGATGATAATTTCGGAAATCATAGTCCCTCCGCCGATACAAAGTTACGGTGTCCGACGTCGCGGTTTCGCACAAAGAAATAAATCACATCGAAGAGGGAAGAAGTCGCCGGCAAGAGTTGATCGATCGGTAAAACTTCTACGAAACACTGCGATGAATATTTTCAACATTTTCACTTCTATGGCAGTTGTTCTAAACAACAACAACGACGATGAATAAAACGATAAAGTGTCGACGGTAAAACGAGACGACAAACAAATAATAACAGGAAAGTTGCGCTAAGAACGCAACAACTTCCAAGACTTTACCACCGACCGTCTTGCCGGGCGAATAATTATACCGTATCCTTTTTGCATGCGCTTCAATTGTGGGGACGTGGGGAAGAAAAATCAACATCAATTAACAAACCTTCTTACACTGCTGCCCTTCCCTACTCTACCCGACAGCGACCCTTATTCGACTATCTTTCTTTGTCCGGGGGCCGGCAAACCTTTGACGCAAAATACAAATTAATAACCTCTTGGCGATGGGTGGCGTGCTGTGCGGCAATTAACGGCGCGCCCATGTACACACAGAAGGTCCTCTCTCTTTAACTATCCAAAACGGAACAAGGAATACACACAACGGGGCGGGCATAGGCCGACTTATCGTCGACACGCTACCGTTGTGGTCTTTTTGAAAAATTACCGTCTATTGAACAGCGTAAGTACACCTTTACGTCGCGAGTACACGTCTGTTCTCCGTAAATCCCGTAAGCCAGTGGCAAAAGACAAGACAAAATGTCGAACGTATATGAACCGACAGCGTGTAGAAATGCAGAAGGCACGTCCATTTGGATTAAAGGGGAGAAAATATTAAGCTCTCCGGTGGCGGAAACCCCCCCCCCCAACTCGGTCGCCTCCTCCGTCGTTTCGTTATTATGTGTTTGCGTTCATGAAGCGACCGAGGAGTGTAAAAAACGCCTTCAGACGTTTAATTGGAATTCCTCAAGAACCCCTGCTTTTTATTTAATTTTTTTTTTCATACCCAAAAACGCGACGCGACGCTTGCTGTCACACTTAATTATGGAGTAACAGCGTTGCCGGATAAAGACACAAAACTGCTGCTATAATCTACCGTGCAATACATTAGCACAGTATAAGATCAAAATCCACCCTTTACTCAAGCTACTACGGCCAGATGCGAAACGTGGAAAATTGGTAACACAGAATGAGAACCAATATAGAATTTTACCAAATGTACCTAAAGCGCCAAGCGTGGAAGGGGCGGGACACGTATCCAGTGGTATAATAAAAGAAGTAATGACAGGCACTATTGTGGTGATAGTTGGTATCACCGGCTATGTGGCTTTATAACAGGCGGTGGTGATAACACGTGATATTGATAACATATGTGATAACACGCGGTGGTTATCACAGGCGGGTGTGATTACAGGTGTGATAACAACCTAGACTGGTGTAACGGAGTAGAGTGGAAACAGAGAAAGATGGTGTGAGATAGTAGAAGCAGCGAAGGCCGTTCAAAAATATCACTGAACCGTTCGAATGGAATTTCGAAATTCAGTTAGAGGTATTTTCGTTTGTTGTCATGCAAAAAGCTATTTAACCGCAGACAACGGGGGGGGGGAGGGGCCTTAACCGTTCTGTTAGGTGTTTTCAAAATCGACTCCACGGTGTTTCCATAACTCAAGACGGTATACATGAAGACGGGCATCGTTCAGTCACACGCGCACAATAAATCACTCGATTTTCTCCCCTTTTTTTTTTCTCTTTTGGCCGCGACTACTATACTTCTTCTACTACTACTGTTCGGCTCGCGCGCATTAAGTGATTTACAGTCGACCTTTAAGACTTCAACCCCACATTTTTTAAGTGACCCAAAGTGCCTTATTTCACTAGACCTCCGAACAGCGGCGTTTCGAGGCGACACAC